TCCCTTCTCCCTATTGCGGTTGCTGCCACTTTTGTGTGCCTGGCAGTACTAGCTTCTCCCATGGAGCTATTCTGAGCTTGGATTCAGTTGTGGCTAATGAATCTTGATGCATTAGCAATGGCTCAATGGGAACTTAATTGGACACTTCTGAGTTGAGAGAAATGAGTATAAATCTCCTGTCACTTGTGGATTTCTTTTCTTTTAAGCACCTGAATGAACAAAGTATTTGCAAAAACTCTCAAGATAGCAGCTCTGGCAAGCAAAATTCTCTTTTTTCTTCTTCTACCATAACAAACATTGGAATGCTTGTACTGCTGAACACAGCAACAATATCTGTGCCATGATTTGGTCTTGGCACAATTCAATCCACATTTGGTTTTTCAGCAACCTTCTTCCTTCATCCTTGCTGAGATTTTTTTTTGGGGAGGGGTATTAGCTTCACCTTCTGAAAGTGTACACTGAATGATGACCCTCTGGCAAGATATTACAGAGACCTGAGTGGGGGATGTGGGAGATTTTACTTTCTCCCAGTTGTGCCCAGATGGGTATTTGGTGCAGCACCAGCCTCACCTTGGGTGTCAGGAAGGGGGTGTAGCAATAGTCTTTAGGAATACACTTCCTCTCTCAAGGCTTCCTGTCCACTTGAAAAAGGGTGTTGAGTGTCTGCACTTAGTCTTGAGTGATAAAGACAGATGAGGAATTCCAGATTCACCCTTCTGCACATCAGACTCCCTGCCTGAGCTGACAAAGATGATCTCAGACCCTCTGAATAGTAGTTCTGGGGGACCTCAGCTACCACACTGAGACTATTCAAGGTGGCTCAAGATTTTATGGCCTCCATTATAACCATGGAGCTCTGTAAATATGTCACTGGTGCAGCACATGAAAAAGGCCACATTATCCACCTGGTATTTTCAATTGGACAGGGAGTTAGTGATCTGTAAGTAAGGGGTGTGACGTTAGCCTCTTCATCATGGTTAAATCACTTTCTCTTGAGATTTAGACTTTTGACTGCTCTTTCCTTCTGTAAGGTTGGAGTACCCATTAGAATGGTCCACCCACAAAGTCTGATGGGTTTCTAAAGGGCTGTGGGGATTTTCCTGGGGTTTTCCCACCTGGTATATATGGTTGGTGCTCCTAAAGTCCAGGTTGCTTTATGGAATAGATAAGTGACCCAGGCAGTTGACATGATTGCACCTAAACACCCTCTCGCCATCTGCAGATCCCACACAGCCCCATGGTATACAGCAGAATTGTGGGCAATGAAGCAATTTGGAAGATGGCTAGAGCCCAGGGGGGAGGAAAATCCAAGCTGAGCATGAGTGACCATGGTAAGAGCACACTATTGAGCCTACTCCGTGGCAATGAAGGAAGCAGAGAAAGCTTTCTTCTTCACCAGCTTTGCACCCTCTTGGTACTGTCCAGAGGAGTTATTCCAAGTGGTTTGTGGTCTTTTACCTGTGGGCCCTAAGGAGAATCAGGTAGAACCCTCAGTGACCCCATGTGATGAGTTTGCACAGGAATTCAAGGATAAAGTCATTCAGATTCATCACAAATTGGACTTCACATTTAATGTAGTCCCTCCAAGGGAGACGTCCAGAGCACTGTCAGATACTATTTTCTTGGATAAGTTTCAGTTATTGAGCCTCCTGATAATGTGGACAAGGCTCTTGGAAAAGTTCAGCCTGCTACCTGTATTCTCGACCCTTGCCTGTCGTGGCTGCTCATCAAAGCCAAGAAGGAAGTGTGTTCCTTGGTCCAGGTGATTGTGAATGGAAAGCAGGGACTGGTCCCAACTCCATTAAAAGAGATGGTGATTAGACTGTTCCTGAAGAAGGCAAGTCTGGATCCAGGAGATGTAACAACTATAGGCCTGTGGCCAACATTCTCTTTTGGGGCAGTGTGCTTGAACCAGTGGTGGCTGGCAAACTCCAGGCACTCCTGGAGGAAATGGACCATCTGGATCCACTTCAGTCCACTTTCAGATGTGGTTTCAGGACTGAAACCACCTTGATCACCCTGTGGGATGACCTGTCCTGGGAGAAAGATAGGAAGTATGTCCCTATTGATTCTCCTGGACCTCTCAGCAGCTTTCAATACTATCAGTCATTTTATACTTCTGGATAGGCTGGTTGGGTTAGGAGTTGAAGGCAATGCTCTTTGCATAACTAAAATGCGAAGTTTACAGTTGCATTTTATTTTATTTCATTTTAATTTAGTTATTTTAATTTATTTATTTATCATTATTTTTCTTATGATTGATTTATTTTCTTTTTGTTTATTATTGGATTAATTCGATGGTATTCTGGTAGTATTGATTCTATCTATTATAATCGATTTATTATTATTTATTGTACCATGAATTGTATTTTTATTGTTGCTGATTTTATATTCTGTAAGCCATCTTGAGATGTTTAGTGAAAGACGGGATAAAAATGTTTTATTACATTAAAATTAGTATTAAAAATGATTCTGCTCCTACCTGACCAACCAATTCCAGAAGGTGTTGCTGGGGATAGCACTTTGGAAAGGAGGATAGTCCCTCGGCCCCATGGCAATTATGTCATGGAATGCCCCGGGGTTCATCCTATCCCCCATGCGGCTCAACATCTACATGAAATTGCTTGGAGAGGTCATCTAGAAGCTTGGGTTGAAACTCAGCTCTACCTCTCATTTACATCTAACCCAGGTGAGGCAGTGATGACTCTGAACCAGTGCCTGAGTGGGGTTGTGGACTAGATGAGCGTTAATAAACTGAAGCTTAAACCAGACAGGATGGAGGTGCTATTGGTAGGGGAAGCCAACTTTAAAAGAAGTAAAGAAGTTGGCCATGAGGTGAAGGGATTTCTCGGCTGTAATGCCTCGACTATGGAACCAGCTCCTCAGGAAGGTGCACCTTGGTGCCAGGTCAAAACTTTTTTATTTCCCATTATTTTAAGTGTTAAATATGATTGTTCCATTTTATATTGGTTTTTATTTATATTGTCATTGCTACATTGTGGATTACTGTTAAACTATCATCAATTATTGTTTATGTTTGAATTTTGTTGGTTATGTAGATGTCTTATTGGCATAAAAGCTATATCTTGATATGATATACTATTTTTATATGGCTTTTAGTGTAGACTGTTCTTTTTTTGGCTAATGAATGGTATATAAAAGCTTAAATAAATAAACTAATAAAAGTATCTATTGGTATTGATAAACATACTGCCTCTTATGCAAGAGCTAATATATAGACATCATTACTTTTAGGGATTATTATTTGCGGCATCATGCTCTGTAGAATTCTTTATCCAGTTTTAAAGCCATTGAAGTTGGCAGCCATAATTAAAGCTCGTGGTAGCAAGTTCCATGGTCTAACTATGATTTCTGTGAAAATGTGCATCATTGCTTGGCTTCATTTGATGGCCCTTGTCTCCACTGTCTCTCCATCATGCATAATAGTATAGACATATAGACTTGTGGGATCTATTCTGTCTGTTTTTTCTTTTTGTTTTTTCTAGAAGACAAGTAGAGTCAGACACAAAATGGTGGCTCAAGAAGCAAAGTAAAATATCTATGACCAATGATCAGTTATGAGCCAATGTTCAGTGATTAATAATAAATCCTGTATGCTACTGGTAATATATAAAGTTCTTCATGTGGTTTATGAGAAATCAGAGATTCTATTGCAACATTCTGAATGTGGCCAACAGAGCCAAAGAAAGTCCTGGTGAAAAGCAAACATGTTGCTGGAACACAACAGCTGATTAGAGATAGATGAATATTCCCTTTCAGTTTTGTTATGGTTTCTCATTTTTCTATAATTATGTTCAGCACATTCCTAACTTTGAGAAATCCAAAGAGAAGTTCTCATGAACATGTGTAAATTTCTCCTGAAATATGTATATGTGCATACAAACTGTTGACACAATTTTGCCTATTATGCTCACTTTTCAAGCAGCATTCACTAATATATGAATTTGTGTGTGTCATTTCACTTAATGTACACATTTTTGCATAAAGTTTTTGATTGGGGAACTCTACTGCAAATATTAGGAGAAGTCCAAGTATCAGTTTGCATGGTTTGGAAGTGCAAAGATGGGTGAATAAAACAGCAATGAGCAGACTCATTAAATTATCTCCTATATCTAAGGTTGACAGATTTGCACATGACAAACTACAACACAATTATACCTGGATGTTTTAGTTGCTTTCATTGAATTACTGGGAATCAGAAACCCATGAACTGCTAATCAACCAGAGATCACTCAGTCAATCCTGATCTGTACAAAGTGAACCAAACAACTTTGTTCATTTATGTCATTTGTTCCTGATACTGTTAAGATGACAGAATATGTTGTGCCTCTCAAGAAGTAATAAACACACACACACTTTCTTCATTGCACTGAAGCATCCTTAAGGACCCCTTCCACTTGTGTTCCACACCTCTCCATTGTCCTATCAGTTGAAGCCCTGACCTGTACTTTCCTGTGACCCAAAGCTCATTATATCAGTACAAGTGGCACATGACCTTCTTGTCGCCCTTCCTGATGAATTGCTTCCTTGAGGTGGCCTGCCTGACATTGCAACTACATGGCTTCTAACATAAAAAACAGCCTCATTAAAGGGTTTTGAGGATCAGGTAACCGAATCAGTAGCAAACATGCTGCTGATTTGTATATTTCTATTGATATGGAAAAATCACCTGGTCTGAGTTTGCTTATTTCCCCTTTTTGACTTGCAGAAGTACAAATGTCCACACACAAACATGCAGAAGCATTAAACTACATCTGAACTGCTAGAACAGACTTGTGGAATGAATTCATGGTTTTAAATAAGTAGGAGCAGAGGGACTGCCTTCTTTGATAGACAGAAAGATATAGATTCCTAATTATTTTACTGTAAACTTAATTTTTCCTCTTTTTTTCCAGGCATATTTAGGGACCATAAAGCCCAGAGGAGTGCATTTCTACCATCTAAGCAATTTATATTTATGTTTACTGTGCTCTAGACACATGATGGAACTGTAAGTAAATCTTCTTTGTCGCATGATGAATCTTATGACTACAATCTGGAAGAAAGCAAAATAATTGTTTCATTGCCGGCAGTGATTTGCTTAGTGTGTGGAATGATGCCAGAAAGACTAACAGAAATGCTTATGGATACATGGGCTCCATTAGTAATATTATGGATTACTGCATTGCCATCGATGTATATGGCTCCAATGAATCATACCCAACTACTACCTAACAAATCCAGTAGAGGACTAAATGAGCTAAGTGAAGAGCAAAGAGTGTTGAACCGTTCAAAGAGAGGCTGGGTATGGAATCAAATGTTTGTGCTTGAAGAGTTTTCTGGACCAGAACCTATATTGGTTGGCCGGGTAAGTCAAAATTCTGATTTCTTCACTGAGATTGATGGCACACATTCATTTGTTTAGATTTTGCCATCCAAGTGACCTCCTAAACCTTTAACACTTTTAAACACTGACTCCTAAACACTGACTTTTGATTAGCTTCTGTAGTTAGTAAGGGTGATGGATAATGCATGGGTAGTGATGATAATTTAAGATTATACATCATCATCATCATCGATTCTGCCGCTTTGCTATAGTGGTCACAAAGGGTGTGGATATGCATGTCCCTGGTCTTGTTGGAATGGATGAAAACAAAATGTATGTAATCACTGAACGTATTCTACCACTGCCACTCCTGTTTTTTCCCACATTGAAATACAGGTGGGACTGAAGCGAGGATGCAGGAGGATGAAGTGACCTCCTTCAGTGTGCTGTGGGGAGGGGAAAGTATGGGTGATAGATTGAAATTGGTGTTTGATGTGCCAAAGATTTTTAAAGTATTTTCTTTGGTTGGTCAAGCGGGGTACAGTGCAACATTTGGATTCCACTTCTGTCCTGGAGTTGAGGAAAAAAGTCCCTGCAGGATGAGAACTGAACTGTGGGAGAATGATAGAACAAATGCAGAGAGTTTCAGCTTAGAGCCAGAGTTGACTGGCTTAAGAGGTCTGATGGAAGGGGATTGGATCAAGAAGGAAAAGACGCCAGGAAAAAGTATTTTGTCATAATCTGTAGCAGCAGCACATCACTTTGCCCCAGTGAATAGGTGCTCTCCATGTCAGAAAGCCAATTTCATATGTGCATTCTATCTGGAAAATGGAATTCTTCTTGTTGTATTGGTAATGATATGGAGGCAGATTGTTATGTTCCCAAGGACAAAAGAGGGAGAGTAAAATTAATAAAGAACAAGGTAGAACAGTTCACTCTACTGTCAATCACAAAGTGGAATGACTACAAAAGCACTTTAGACATAATAATCCTTAAGAACCATAATAGAAACAATCTGAGCAGCACAAATAACATATTGACCCTTCAACACTGTCATACACCTAAACATGCCCCATCTAAACCCAGAAAAATAAGGTCACAGATCAGAAATAAAGAAAACAACATCACAGATATTGGTCTTGCATGATCCACAGTAAATATTCTTCCATTTTGGCTTACTAGAAATAAACTGTGTGGTTGTGGGGGGCGGCAGGGGATGTAGAAACATTTCCAGAAAAGCTCTTAGCTGAAAGAATATTTACCCCTTTGCTGACACTTCCTACGTGGTATTTTGGGGGTATCAATATTTTCTTCTAGTTATGCCATTCATCTTTTGGAATCAATGAAGTTGTCACTATTAGCTAATTGGGAATGAAATTCTAACAGAATGAGAGGTATCCAATGGTGTCTTTCTGCAAACTCAAAAGAACTAGTGAATTGCCATCAAATATTTTATTGAACAAGTGCTTGAACACTGCGATTGCACAGTGGTTTGTTCAAACATAATATGTAATTGCTTGTGCAATGAACAACTTTCATATTCCCACTTGTTCTAATATAATTTTAGTAGGATTATCCTTTTGGAAGCTATTTTCTACTAGTGCAGTGCAATTTTTGCTAGCAGAATGACAGATCTGAATGCTGACCCTTGTAGCCAATAATATTGTCTATACGATCTCATTGCTGCACTTGAATGGACATCCAATCTGATGTAGCATAGCTTTTCTTATGTTCTCCTGTTCTAACTTTGTTCTGGGAGAATTCAGTGGTAGGAATGGGGAAGAAATGGCCACAAAGCACTGGCAGTAGGATCGATGTTGCCCGTATGAAGCAGGTGGCAGAAGCAAAGGGCAAGCCGGAAGGGTTGGGCGTATGTCAAAGCCCCCGTCATCTCTATTCAATTTCATCCCTCGCACTCTCTTCAAAACTTTGCATTTAGTGAAACAGAGCGACTGGATGAGTCTGACAGGAATGAATTGTAAATGATTTAATGAGTGGTAGACCATAGCATGAGTGGTGAAGAAAAGGTTAATTGAAGCCTTGTACAACCTACTGCAGAACACAACTGTGGCTGGCATTCTGTGGGAAGACTTTCCACCAATCATTTTCGTGTCATGCTACCAATAGATTTGGAAGCAAATGCCATTTATGCAGAGCTAGTCTTTTGGACGACTCTCACACAATGGCTGGCTTTCTTCCCAGTTGGGCAGAACTTAGTTAAGATAGATCCATTCAGCTGCCAGGAACAATCCACAAGGAAGCACTTCCCACACAGCTGACAGAAAGTGCAGATGGTGCCACAGTCACACACACACACACACACACCCTAGAGAGAGAGCAAGAGAAGCATCAGGTGTGGAGCTTGGTAAAACTAGTGATGGGATTTTAGTTCTCCTTCTCTTTATGCATGGCATTATTCCACTGTTTATAAAAACAGTCATCTTTATTACATATGCTATAGGTGTTCCCTTCAGGCAGAAGTGAGTTTTTGTCTATATTTCAACAATTCCGTCAATAATAAGTAAAGATAAAGTTGATAGTCAGTGTTTTCTGAAAAGGTGGAATTTTTGAAATTGTGCAGCCAGATACTGTGCTTGTTTATTGAAGAATAAATTCTATGAATTTGGTAGGATTTAGTCCTAAACTGTGATGTGAATATAAGGAAAACTCAAGGTTATGTAAGTTTTTCAAATTTTATCTTGACCATCATGCTATCTCATGTCCATATCAGATTGTGAACTCCACTTTTTTCCTTTTTGCATTAAAATATATGCATATTTTATGCATATTTTCTTAAGTATATGCTTCAACTGTATGCTTCTTTGACATATCTACATACTCACCCTCACTGAATCATCCTCCATTTTTCCCATTTGAGGCTTGTGCATATTTTCCAAATCACCAACACTCTGGTCTCATGGGAAGTTTTCTCCTCTTGTGCACACGTAAGGGACTCTTCTGAGCGTGCGTGCATGACACTTGTGTATGTTCAAATGTGTGCCTGCTGTTAAGTATATTTGCTTTGGCCTGCAAGTTGCAAACTTGGAAATGTATGGACTTTGATGACAGACTTGATTTGAATCCGTGTTTGGACTGGGAGATGTGAATTGGCTAAATCCTGATTTTAAAAATGTACTGAAATGAATTTTCCATGCACCTTTATTCCTGTTGTTGTTATATGGTGACAACTCATTTCCACCTTAAGGTGATACCATGAGTGAAAGTTCTCCAAAATGTTCTGCCCATGACAGCCCTGCTCACTTCTTCCAAACTGAAGGCTTTGGCTTCCTTTTATGAAGTCAGTCCTGATGGGTCCCTTCCAATTCTACTATTCTATGTTTCTATGACTCCTTAAAATACTAATATTGCATGTTGTAGTTTTCCAATCCTCCCTTATTCTGGAAAGTGTACTTGGCATTGTTGAGACACTGAGATAACCTTGTGTAGGCTTCTCAGTTATCTCAGTGCATCAACAAACCTATATGGTAGATTGGGCTGGGTGGGATAGATAAAATATTTTTTGTAGTGGTATGCATATTCAGAGCAGGGTTATAACCCAAACATTTCTGAACCTACATTAGGAAGCACTTCAAAGTTGATAACAAAAGTTAGTCTTTATTGGACTACATGTATCCATTACTTCTAGAAAATGGATACATCTGTTGCTTTTATCCTACCTCTTTCTTTCCTTGTATTTGTCAAAGCATTTGAATTATGGCAGAAATTAAAGGGAGACAGAATGCTCTAATGATGCCAGAGCGCATGGTAGTACATGATACTGAAAAATATCTCGCTAAGTAATCCCCAGTCCTCATTTTATGGAGATCTGGGATTGCCACTGCTCATGCTGCATATATGAACTCAGTTAAATAAATGTACATGCAGTGTCATTGACTGATAAGTACAGAGCCTGAATTAAAAACTAACAAAAATGAACAAAAAGCATAGATATGAAATCGGGAAAGTAAAATCAAGGCGAGGGAGACATCCCATTTGCCTACTTTCGAAACTTTCCTTGTACATACTGCAAATGTATCATAAGAACTTCACCTTCATTAACTCTTCGTAATTCAATCAGCTTTCAGCCAGAGTCCCGTCAATTCATGATGGTTTAGGGGCTTGCCTTCCATATGTTTATGGCAACTAGTAAATAACTGCATTCCGTCCCTGGCACACAAATGGCACACATGCGTTCCTTTTTTCTCTTTGATTTTTTAAGACAACTTTCCCCCGCTTGTAATGTTCCCAAATGGATTTAAGCCAAGAAAAAGTGTCTCTCCATCAAGCACTTAACTGGACAAAGAAAAAGATTTTGTGTTAAGGCAGCCATCCACTCATGTCTTGATTTCATCCTGTTTTTGGAGGGTTTGTGATCTTGCATGCCATACATGTGCCAGTTTCTTCCATATAGTTAGAAGCAAGGGGAACACAGGGAAAGTAGTAAGCTTTCATTCATCACCACGTTAAATCACAAGCTACTATGCATTATGGCATCATTAGCACATTTGGTTTGCCTTTAATTTCCACTATTATTCAAATGCATTAGTAAATACAAAGGAGAAGAAAGACACCAAGATAAAAACCAACAGATGCATCCATTTTCTAGAAGTATTTTGAACAGCACTTTTCCCCTGTGTTGCTGTGATTTTTTCCCTTTTAATTGCTGGGACCTCTTTATAGTTTTACCAATCTAAAGAACAGATGGAAGAGGATAAAACTTGTTTCCAAGGAGAAGGCTATTGGATATGTTCCCAAATTGATAATTTCCTTGTACTTATTGTCTGCATGCTCTCTCTTAATAAGTCTTATGATTTTTGTGTGTGTATGTACAAATAATATACAAGAAGAGCAAAATATATGATATTACTTTGGCATTTTAACCACTGTCAAGTTCAGACATGCATGTACACACTGTTATAATAAATGTGACGTCTGTATGAATACATACGTGAGTGCAAATTCATGCAGATAAAGAGACGAGGGTCACAGATGCAGGCCACATTCAACCTTCAGATCTTCAAAAGTTTTGCACTGAGCCTGTG